GCGGCGGTTTGTGGCACGAGGGCACGGCGGTTTGTGGCACGAGGGCACGGCGGTTTGGCGGCATGAAGCACGCACACCAGGCCAGCCAGAGTGAGAGGCACTGCCCAGGGAAGAGGAGGACGGCGGCAGGAGGGGGCGGAGGGGACGGTGACTGCTCCGGAACAGGCCGGCAGCGTGCTGCGGCACAGGGAGGGCGTCCTGGAGAACCGCGAGGGCAACGGGAGGGAGAAGCAGCACGGTCCACCCTTCGCTGCCTCCGCAGAGACCCACAGTGCTCCGTGGGGGCTGCGCCGCTCCCGGTAACGCTGCCCAGGCAGCTCCAAAAGAGATCACAGCCCCCTAAAACTGGCTGCTGATGCAAGACGACTCCTGCAGTGCAGGCACGTGGTGGGAACTGGAGGAGCCAGATGCTGGGACAATTTCCCAGTGGTCCCCAAGCGGTCCCAACTGGCCCAGGGTATCAGCGCTCAGCCGCCTGCTCCCAGCAGCACTGAATTGAAGCAGAGGGGGCAATAAACTACGCGGCAGGTGGAAAAGCCTCAGAAAGTTGAGTCTGGGCCTGAAACGCGTCCCCCCTTTCCAATTTTGGTCGTGGCTGCAGGTCCGCGCAGCTGAGCGAGGCCACCCGTTCGACCACCGAACCACCCCATCTCACCGGACTGCCTCCGGTCCAAAGAGCAGCCACCCAGAAGAGATCCTGCCATCAGGGCTCACGTAGGCACCAGCTGAACCGAGGCCCTGGCTCAGCTGACGGACCCAACAGAGCCCCTTGGACTACGTCCCAGAGGCGTTACCAGGAAACCATTTCTGACCGCCCCCAGCCACTTCTGGCCTGGCCAAAAACCCGCGGGGCAAAGGCAAGGTGAGGTCGGGACACCAGCCGCAGAGCTGCCGCTCAGCCCCCTCCCTGCGCGAGCGGGGACAAGACCGAGAAGGCCCCAGGAAAGACCCGTTCCTTCCTCGGGGGCACTCTGATCCGCCTGGAGCCTCAGCCTGAGGAGGGATTCCTGGAGCGAGCGAGCGAGCTGGGGAGTTGCTGTCTCTGGAAGAGACTGCTGAGCAGACTGGCTGCCACATTCGTGTTTAAAATGTCCTCAGCTCCTCGCATCAGAAAAGACAAGGTGAAGGGGCCGGGAGGGAAATACGAGATGTAGGCCAGAGGGCTCTCCAGTGGAGCCCCGAGGCTGCATAGGAAGAGTTCCCTATGTTAAGGGGATAAATATTTGCCTCAGCTGCTTTTTATGTCCCGTAAAATACATCAGGGGGAAAATAAGCAGCAATATTCAAACCCTAGGCTGCGTCGTCAGTTTGTTCTGTTACCGACTTAGCTAACTAGGTGTTCCCTCAAGGGCAGCTTTCCTAGCTCTCGGCCCTGCTCACACAACCAACCTGCCCACGTGCGTCTGCTCCCCGCGGCAGGCAGAGACCCACGCCAGTCACCTCGGCAGGACGGCACAGCCCCGCTCCGTCCGGTTTTCCACTCTGTACCGCCTCCAAGAGAAGGGAGGAGCACGCTTTTAACAAAGATGACATTTTCCGGGAGTTCCCGGAGGCTTTTATTTACAGAAGCTCTTTGTCAGAGACTAGAGCTGTTTGGTTTCTGTTTGATGCTGTCTTGACTTCTCTAGTCTGTGAAATAAGACGCCGGTGTCAGGTCCAAGCTGCCTCCCTTCAAAGGGACACGGCTTCCCGTCGTAGCGTGGCAGAAATGTCAAACCTGAGAGACCTCTCTCTTCTGGCTCAACGGCCAGCCTGGAAAGCAACTTGTCTGCAGCGTGTGGGATCACGGGCTGCAGGAGGGTCCCGTAGACGCGCAGGCATTCCAGCGTAACGTGGAGGATGGTGTCAAGCCAGAGCTTCTCCGCAGGGTCTTTTTGGTTGAGTTTCCAAGGCTTGTGTCTCTGGAAGAAACTGTTGGTCTGCCTTACGCACAGGGCAACACATTCTAAAGCCTTGTAGATCTGGAAACCTTCAAAATAACTAGCCACCTGCGAAATAAGATGCCGGTGTCAGTTCCAAGCTGCCTCCCTTCAGAGGGACACGGCTTCCCATCGTAGTGTGGCAGAAATGTCAAACTTGAGAGACCTCTCTCTTCTGGCTCAACAGGCAGCCTGGAAAGCAACTTGTCTGCAGTGTGTGGGATCACGGGCTGCAAGAGGGTCCCATAAACACACAGGCATTCCAGCGTAACGTGGATGATGGTGTCAAGCCAGAGCTTATCTGCGGGGTCTTTTCGGTTGAGTTTCCAAGGTTTGTGTCTCTGGAAGAAACTGTTGGTCTGCCTTACGCACAGGGCAACACATTCTAAAGCCTTGTAGATCTGGAAACCTTCAAAATAACTAGCCACCTGCAGAGGCAGAGAAGCCACAGATGCCACGAACTCATAGTCTTCGGCAGAAGCCCTACCCACGGCTTTCGTCCCCCTGTAATCCAAGATCTTTGGAAAACAAGACTCTGAGAAACAAGGGTAGGTGTTGCTGGGGTTAATGCTGAGGGCTGTCGACCGATTCAGGAGCCCCCCAAGAGCATCTGCCAGTTCCGAATTCACCAGCTTAACAACCTTCTCATCATAATAGTCACAATCCCGCTCAGGTACGCCCTGCCTTAGCAGGAAGTACCGAAATCCATCTACTGTGTACTCTCCAATACAAGCAACGGGGTCAATCACGTTGCCCAGGCTTTTGGACATCTTCTGCCCACGGACAGTCCAGTGGGAGTGCACAAAGATTCGCTCGGGGGGAGCCAGCCCCGCTGCCATCAGCAGCGCTGGCCAGTAGATGGCATGAAACTTGAGGATGTCCTTGCCCACAACGTGGTGCGCAGCGGGCCACCACTCACCGTGCGTCTCGGGGTAGCCCACCACGCTCAGGTAGTTCACCAAGGCATCCACCCAAACGTAAATCGTTTGTGTTGGGTCACTGGGAACAGGGATACCCCACTGCAGCCGGCTTCTCTCACGAGAGACGGACAAGTCTGGCAAGTCCTCTTCCAGCCAGCGGAGCACGCGCTGGTAGAAAGGCTCAGGGGAAATGGCGTGCGGGTTGTCCCGGAGCCACTTCTGCAACGGATCCCGGAACGCCGAGAGCCTGAACATGTAATTCTCCTCTTTGGTCCAGTGCACCTGAGAAGGCAGGAGAGAAAAGAATCACGGCCCAAACGCTCTGCACACAGTTTTACAACCTGCACCCAGCATTCTCAGCGTGGAGTTTGTCACGTGCTCCCTCTGCGTTCGGGTGTGCTCCCCGCCACATGTGAAGCCCCCAGTATCTTTCTGGGACCAGTAGGAACCTCCTCTCCTAAGCCACCGCCGCCCTGGGCTCCCCAGGGCAACATGTGCAGGCTGAGGCGCTTGGGATGGCTCAGCGCTCTGCTTTTAAAGATGCTCGTGCCCCGGGGGAAGGAATACCTTTCTACCTGCCAGATTTATGTGTCGTCAGGCAAGAATTAGGGAGACAAGAACATGCTTTCTTAGAAAACATAGTTTTGCAGTAACAGTAGAAAATCTAGAGAGAGATCTACGGCTAGGCCAAGAATTCTTACCTTTTAAAGCAAAATAAGGTTTTAAGATAAGAAAGTACAGGCTTTGGCACCCTGCAGGAGTTTCAGTTTCTAGCACTGAACCCAACAACTTCTGACTGAGGCAGAAAGTGCCTCGCTCTCAATACGAGCGGCAAAGAGCCCACCACACCTCAGGCTGAGGTACCCCAAGGAATCATTAGTCCCAGTGGTACAAAACCGCTTTACGATGTAGTTGAAACGCTACCTTAGCTTACTTGATTAGAAGGTGACCCCAAAAGAAATATTCTT